AACGTCTCTAAATGTTCTTGTCGACTGCCCATCCACCATATAGGATCTACAGCCCACAAACGTCTCTAAATGACCTTGTCGACTGCCCATCTAACATCTTCTATCTACTGCCCACAAACGTCTCTAAATGTTTTTGTTGACTGCCCATCCACCATCTTCCATCTACAACCCACAAACGTCTCTAAATGTTCTTGTCGACTGCCCATCCATTATATAGGATCTACAACCCAAAAACGTCTCTAACTGATCTTGTCGACTGCCCATCCACCATATAGGATCTACAGCCCACACACGTCTCTAAATGTTCTTGTCGACTGCCCATCCATTATATAGGATCTACAACCCAAAAACGTCTCTAACTGATCTTGTCGACTGCCCATCCACCATATAGGATCTACAGCCCACACACGTCTCTTAATGTTCTAGTCGACTGCCCATCTACCATCTTCTATCTACAGCCCACAAACGTCTCTAAATGTTTTTGTTGACTGCCCATCCACCATATAGGATCTACAGCCCACAAAAGTCTCTAAATGTTCTTGTCGACTGCCCATCCACCATATAGGATCTACAGCCCACAAACGTCTCTAAATATTCTTGTCGACTGCCCATATCATATAGGATCTACAGCCCACACACGTCTCTAAATGTTCTTGTCGACTGCCCATCCACCATATAGGATCTACAGCCCACACACGTCTCTAAATGTTCTTGTCGACTGCCAATCCACCATATAGGATCTACAGCCCACAAACGTCTCTAAATGTTCTTGTCGACTGCCCATCCACCATATAGGATCTACAGCCCACAAACGTCTCTAAATGTTCTTGTCGACTGCCCATCCACCATATAGGATCTACAGCCCACAAACGTCTCTAAATGTTCTTGTCGCCTGCCCATCCACCATCTTCGATCTACAGCCCACAAACGTCTCTAAATGTTCTTGTCGACTGCCCATCCACCATCTTCGATCTACAGCCCACTAACGAAAAGTACAGTCTGTGGTAAAAGACTGGACAGTACTGTCTGAATTGAACATTACTGTCTGTTTTAGAAGACAGGATATTACTGTTTGAATATTTCGCGTAGAAGACTGGTCATTCATTCATTCATTCATTCAGTAGCATGTCCCTCGCGGAACCTCGCTGCCATAACAACCCTCCGGAAAACCTTCCTATCCTGAGCAAGATGTCCTGCGTCTGATACACCCATCTGGAGATCATCTGCCACATCCTGCACCCATCTTCTCCTTGGCCTTCCTCTTCCTCTCTTCCCAGGCATATACCCCTCCATTATTGTTCTCTCTAGACTTCCATGACGTTTCAAGTGACCAAAATATTTCAATTTTCTTTGTTTTATTGTCTTTACTAGCCAACCCTCTTCAATATTCAGCTCTTGAAGTATGGATGCATTTGTTCTTTTCTTTACCCAAGATATTCTTAGAATATCTTGGTCATTACTGTTTGAATATGTCGAGTAGAAGACTGGACATTACTGTTTGAATATTTCGAGTAGAAGACTGGACATTACTGTTTGAATATGTGGAGTAGAAGACTGGACATTACTGTTTGAATATGTGGAGTAGAAGACTGGACATTACTGTTTCAATATGTGGAGTAGAAGACTGGACATTACTGTTTGAATATGTGGAGTAGAAGACTGGACATTACTGTTTCAATATGTGGAGTAGAAGACTGGACATTACTGTTTCAATATGTGGAGTAGAAGACTGGACATTACTGTTTCAATATGTGGAGTAGAAGACTGGACATTACTGTTTCAATATGTGGAGTAGAAGACTGGACATTACTGTTTCAATATGTGGAGTAGAAGACTGGACATTACTGTTTCAATATGTGGAGTAGAAGACTGGACATTACTGTTTCAATATGTGGAGTAGAAGACTGGACATTACTGTTTCAATATGTGGAGTAGAAGACTGGACATTACTGTTTCAATATGTGGAGTAGAAGACTGGACATTACTGTTTCAATATTTGGAGTAGAAGACTGGACATTACTGTTTGAATATGTGGAGTAGAAGACTGGACATTACTGTTTGAATATGTGGAGTAGAAGACTGGACATTACTGTTTCAATATGTGGAGTAGAAGACTGGACATTACTGTTTCAATATGTGGAGTAGAAGACTGGAAATTACTGTTTGAATATGTGGAGTAGAAGACTGGACATTACTGTTTGAATATGTGGAGTAGAAGACTGGACATTACTGTTTGAATATGTGGAGTAGAAGACTGGACATTCCTGTTTGAATATGTGGAGTAGAAGACTAGACATTACTGTTTCAATATTTGGAGTAGAAGACTGGACATTACTGTTTGAATATGTGGAGTAGAAGACTGGACATTCCTGTTTGAATATGTGGAGTAGAAGACTGGACATTCCTGTTTCAATATGTGGAGTAGAAGACTGGACATTACTGTTTGAAAACCTCGAGTAGAAGACATTACATTACTAAAAAGCGGCTTTACCTCTCAGGTAAATAACCTGGTACCCATTTAAGGCTAGGCTGACCCGGGAACCAAGGTCATTAAAAAATGGGGTTTGTAGTCTAAGCAAGCGAGACGGGTCTAAATCCAGGGGGCGGTGTTGAATTCTCGTCTTGTCACCCAGGATATAGCGGCCTGTTCAAGACCATATCTGCAGTGAGGCATATTGTGATGTCAACAGCGTACGATTCAGAACAGTACAGACATACTGGATCAGACGAACTCTCAAGGAAGGAAAGGCGGCAGGTCCAGATGGTATTCCAACAGAAGCCATTAGGGCCAGTATAAACACATCAACGGAATTGCTACATACAGAACATTATGGATGGTTTAACAAAGATGGCAGAAAGTTTAAATGCAGTCGGGCTGGAAAAGATGGTCAGAGAAAGTATTTTCTGGATAGGCGGGCAAGTGGATCAGCGCTCGAGTCTGATACACATTCTGATGGCGTATGATACGTGATACTTGTTGTCCGTATCCAAATCCTAGCACATGGGCCTGATCGATTAGTGTTCTGTCCACCGATGTTGCAGCCATCTCCTTGTCCCCGTGTTCGCGGCAGGTTCAATGGCGTATAATGATCATGTCAAATATATAAGCTCCACCCTACATGATAAAACTAGCCACGCAAACCAAAAATATAAGCAGCTGGTGCACACACAAAACATACAACTGAAGGCACATATCAGCAACAATTGAACTAGGCAGAGATGTGCTGGTTTACAAAGACTACACGGAGTATCAGCCAGGCGTACTCTCAGTTGTAGCGCTTCAAAGATGATTCCTTTTCGCCATGAAAAAAAAATGCATTCGATCATTATTACGTGGTTGCCAAACCACAGGCAGGCAGGCATACCGACGGACGTAACCCGTGTCGCTGAAGGCCTTCCCTCTGCTTCACTTGTGCAGCCGAGCCCGCCCGCCCTCTCCTCGCCTTCTCTCTTCTCTTTTTCCCTATTACCTCCCTTCCTGGATCTGTTTGCAGGAGATAGGGGGGTGATTGGCCTATCTGTAGCGACACATATTCCCGACTCAAAGCTTTACATGAATCTGCAACGCAGGTAAGGACACATTGTAACATTGTTTGTGCTGCCGACGGAGCATACGAGGCACGGTATCAATCTGTTGGTGAAATATGGTGGCGGATAACTGGCCCCCCAGTCCCCCCATATTAGCCGAGGCGACGTGTCGGCCATCTTTCACGTTCGACAAGGACTCGCTTGTGCCTGTTAACGCTTGTATTTACTATTTCTGAGTCGTTTCACGTACATTATTTTATAACAGTGGACGCCTGGACAAAATTGTAGGTGAATAAATATGCTGAGGAGGTTTAACTTGAGGGCAGACGTAAAATCTCTCCGTGAAACTGGGCACTTGACCATTGCTGGGTACCCCCCACTGATCTATGACGCAATGCAGACAAGGGATGTAATCAAGTTTTTGGGTTTAGATGCGACCGGAGAATTACCTGTCCTTGTTTGCCCCTAGAGTCAATGGTGTGTTGTCTATGTGACGAAGGTTGGCCCCAATGGACCTCCAACATATTACTTCTTTCTCCCAAGATCAGGGCTTTTCAAATAAATGTACTCAGGGGAAACATTTTGACGATAGAGATCGTCAAAGAACACAGGCCTAAGCCCCATCATAAACAGATCATTAATACAGCACAACTAGTGATGATCAGTGTGGCTGGAGATGAGGGCAGTGTGGCTCGAGATGAGGGCAGTGTGGCTGGAAGTGTGGGCAGTGTGGCTGGAGGTGAGGGCAGTGTGGCTGGAGGTGAGGGCAGTGTGGCTGGAGGTGAGGGCAGTGTGGCTGGAAGTGTGGGCAGTGTAGCTGGAGGTGAGGGCAGTGTGGCTGGAGGTGTGGGCAGTGTGGCTAGAGATGAGGGCAGTGTGGCTGGAGATAAGGGCAGTGTGGCTAGAGATGAGGGCAGTGTGGCTGGAGGTGAGGGCAGTGTGGCTGGAGGTGAGGGCAGTGTGGCTGGAGGTGAGGGCAGTGTGGCTGGAGGTGAGGGCAGTGTGGCTGGAGGTGAGGGCAGTGTGGCTGGAGATGAGGGCAGTGTGGCTGGAGGTGAGGAGTGTGGCTGGAGATGAGGGCAGTGTGGCTAGAGATGAGGGCAGTGTGGCTAGAGATAAGGGCAGTGTGGCTAGAGATGAGAGCAGTGTGGCTAGAGATGAGGGCAGTGTGGCTGGAGATAAGTGCAGTGTGGCTGGAGATGAGGGCAGTGTGGCTGGAGGTGAGGGCAGAGTGGCTGGAGATAAGGGGAGTGTGGCTGGAGATAAGGGGAGTGTGGCTGGAGATGAGGGTAGTGTGGCTGGAGGTGAGGGCAGTGTGGCTGAAGGTGAGGACAGTGTGGCTGGAGGTGAGGGCAGTGTGGCTGGAGGTGAGGGCAGTGTGGCTGGAGATGAGGGCAGTGTGGCTGGAGGTGAGGGCAGAGTGGCTGGAGATAAGGGGAGTGTGGCTGGAGATAAGGGGAGTGTGGCTGGAGATGAGGGTAGTGTGGCTGGAGGTGAGGGCAGTGTGGCTGAAGGTGAGGACAGTGTGGCTGGAGGTAAGGGCAGTGTGGCTGGAGGTGAGGAGTGTGGCTGGAGGTGAGGAGTGTGGCTGGAGGGGAGGGCAGTGTGGCTGGAGGTGAGGAGTGTGGCTGGAGGGGAGGGCAGTGTGGCTGGAGGTGAGGAGTGTGGCTGGAGGGGAGGGCAGTGTGGCTGGAGGTGAGAGTGTGGCTGGAGGTGAGGGCAGTGTGGCTGGAGGTGAGGAGTGTGGCTGAAGGTGAGGACAGTGCGGCTGGAGGTAAGGGCAGTGTGGCTGGAGGTAAGGGCAGTGTGGCTGGAGGTAAGGGCAGTGTGGCTGGAGGTAAGGGCAGTGTGGCTGGAGGTAAGGGCAGTGTGGCTGGAGGTAAGGGCAGTGTGGCTGGAGGTAAGGGCAGTGTGGCTGGAGGTAAGGGCAGTGTGGCTGGAGGTAAGGGCAGTGTGGCTGGAGGTAAGGGCAGTGTGGCTGGAGGTAAGGGCAGTGTGGCTGGAGGTAAGGGCAGAATGTGGCTGGAGATGAGGAGAATGTCGCTGGAGATGGGGAGAATGTGGCTGGAGGTGAGAAGAATGTGGCTGGAGATGAGGAGAATGTCGCTGGAGATGGGGAGAATGTGGCTGGAGGTGAGAAGAATGTGGCTGGAGATGAGGAGAATCCCTGGAGGTGAGGAAAATCCCTAGAGGTGAGGAGAGTAACTGGAGGTGAGGAGAATCCCTGAAGGTGAGGAGAATTCCTGGAGGTGAGGAGAATCCCTGGAGGTGAGGAGAGTAGCTGGAGGTGAGGAGAATCCCTGGAGGTGGGGAGAGTAGCTGGAGGTGAGGAGAGTAGCTGGAGGTGAGGAGAATCCCTGGAGGTGAGGAGAGTAGCTGGAGGTGAGGAGAGTAGCTGGAGGTGAGGAGAGTAGCTGGAGGTGAGGATAGTAGCTGTAGGTGAGGAGAATCCCTGGAGGTAAGGAGAGTAACTGGAGGTGAGGAGAATCCCTGGAGGTGAGGATAGTAACTGGAGGTGAGGAGAATCCCTGGAGGTGAGGAGAGTGGCTGGAGGTGAGGATAGTAACTGGAGGTGAGGAGAATCCCTGGAGGTGAGGATAGTAACTGGAGGTGAGGAGAATCCCTGGAGGTGAGGAGAGTAGCTGGAGGTGAGGAGAGTAGCTGGAGGTGAGGAGAATCCCTGGAGGTGAGGAGAATCCCTGGAGATGAGGAGAGTAGCTGGAGGTGAGGAGAGTAGCTGGAGGTGAGGAGAGTAGCTGGAGGTGAGGATAGTAGCTGTAGGTGAGGAGAATCCCTGGAGGTGAGGATAGTAACTGGAGGTGAGGAGAATCCCTGGAGGTGAGGATAGTAACTGGAGGTGAGGAGAATCCCTGGAGGTGAGGAGAGTGGCTGGAGGTGAGGATAGTAACTGGAGGTGAGGAGAATCCCTGGAGGTGAGGAGAGTAGCTGGAGGTGAGGATAGTAACTGGAGGTGAGGAGAATCCCTGGAGGTGAGGAGAATCCCAGGAGGTGAGGAGAGTAGCTGGAGGTGAGGAGAGTGGCTGGAGGTGAGGAGAGTGGCTGGAGGTGAGGAGAATCCCTGGAGGTGAGGAGAATCCCTGGAGGTGAGGAGAATCCCTGGAGGTGAGGAGAATCCCTTGAGGTGAGGAGAATCCCTGGAGGTGAGGAGAATCCCTGGAGGTGAGGAGAATCCCTAGAGGTGAGGAGAGTGGCTGGAGGTGAGGAGAGTGGCTGGAGGTGAGGATAGTGGCTGGAGGTGAGGATAGTAACTGGAGGTGAGGAGAATCCCTGGAGGTGAGGAGAATCCCAGGAGGTGAGGAGAATCCCTGGAGGTGAGGAGAATCCCTGGAGGTGAGGAGAATCCCTGGAGGTGAGGAGAGTAGCTGGAGGTGAGGAGAATTCCTGGAGGTGAGGAAAATCCCTGGAGGTGAGAAGAGTAGCTGGAGGTGAGGAGAGTAGCTGGAGGTGAGGAGAGTAGCTGGAGGTGAGGAGAGTAGCTGGAGGTGAGGAGGATCGATGGAGGTGAGGAGAGTAGCTGGAGGTGAGGAGGATTGATGGAGGTGAGGAGAGTAGCTGGAGGTGAGGAGGATCGATGGAGATGAGGAGAGTAGCTGAAGATGAGGAGAGTGTGGCTGTAGGTGAGGACAATCCCTGGAGGTGAGGAGAATAGCTGGAGGTGAAACCACTTCTTCCTTCACCCCAACCCTAATTTAGGGAAAAGTGCTGAGAATCTCCTTTACATTTTCTCATATTTTGTGCCTTGGAAATTTGTAAAGTGGAAAATAAGTGGGGCTAAGTGCATACCCCCCCCCCCCCCCCCCCCCCCCCCCCCCCCCCCCCCCCCCCCCCCCCCCCCCCCCCCCCACACCTGAATATTTTATAACGAGGTCACATGTGCCCTGGATGTACACTCTAAGACTGCTGTTCTGTCATCTCTTGATATTATCCCCCACTTATGTGGCTGCTACCTTTTCCTCACTTGCCTTCAGCCTTTCCTCACAGTATGGTTTTTATTAGGGAGCTACCATGGTGTAGCAGCTAGAGCTTGCCTGCAGATCTGGAAGTCATGGGTTCAAATTCAAGAGGCGGAGCCAAACCCCTTTACAAAAAAAAAAAAGGTTTTGGCTCCCAGGCCTTAAGTAAGTGCTAGGGAAAGTCCTTGCAAGTAAAGGAGCCAGCGTGATGCTGACCACGTGGTCACCCACCGAGTGCTGATAGCTCTGTCAAATGTAGGTCTAGTATTATATATCTTATATACCTAAAGCCATGGAAAAGGGTTTGTTTATCATTTTTTATAATTGTATAATTGTTGTGGGCAAGGGAGTAATGCTGGGTCACAACTAAATCATGATAGTCCCCGGAGAATGGTACAGCTGGGAGTGACCAGGGGATCTGGCTGACACTTTGTACACAGAGGAAAGGCAAGATGACCCGGTACAGCTGGAAGTTACCAGGGGATGTGGCTGACACTTTGTACACAGAGGAAAGGCAAGATGACCCGGTACAGCTGGAAGTTACCAGGGGATGTGGCTGACACTTTGCACACAGAGGAAAGGCAAGATGGATGCGGTACAGCTGGAAGTTACCAGGGGTTTTGGCAGACACAGAGGAAAGGCAAGATGGATGCGGTACAACTGGAAGTTACCAGGGAATCTGGCAGACACAGAGGAAAGGCAAGATGACCCGGTACAGCTGGAAGTTACCAGGTGATCTGGCAGACACAGAGGAAAGGCAAGATGGACCCGGTACAACTGGAAGTTACCAGGGGATCTGGCAGACACAGAGGAAAGGCAAGATGACCCGGTACAGCTGGAAGTTACCAGGTGATCTGGCAGACACTTTGCACACAGGGGAAAGGCAAGATGGACCCGGTACAGCTGGGAGTGATCAGGGGATCTGGCAGACACAGAGGAAAGGCAAGATGGACCCGGTACAGCTGGAAGTTACCAGGGGATCTGGCAGACACAGAGGAAAGGCAAGATGACGCGGTACAGCTGGAAGTTACCAGGGGATCTGGCAGACACAGAGGAAAGGCAAGATGACCCAGTACAGCTGGAAGTTACCAGGTGATCTGGCAGACACTTTGTACACAGAGGAAAGGCAAGATGACCCGGTACAGCTGGGAGTGATCAGGGGATCTGGCAGACACATTGGAAAGGCAAGATGGACCCGGTACAGCTGGGAGTGATCAGGGGATCTGGCAGACACAGAGGAAAGGCAAGATGGACCCGGTACAGCTGGAAGTTACCAGGGGATCTGGCAGACACAGAGGAAAGGCAAGATGACGCGGTACAGCTGGAAGTTACCAGGGGATCTGGCAGACACAGAGGAAAGGCAAGATGACCCAGTACAGCTGGAAGTTACCAGGTGATCTGGCAGACACTTTGTACACAGAGGAAAGGCAAGATGACCCGGTACAGCTGGGAGTGATCAGGGGATCTGGCAGACACATTGGAAAGGCAAGATGGACCCGGTACAGCTGGGAGTGATCAGGGGATCTGGCAGACACAGAGGAAAGGCAAGATGACCCGGTACAGCTGGAAGTTACCAGGGGATCTGGCAGACACTTTGCACACAGAGGAAAGGCAAGATGACCCGGTACAGCTGGGAGTGATCAGGGGATCTGGCAGACACAGAGGAAAGGCAAGATGACCCGGTACAGCTGGAAGTTACCAGGGGATCTGGCAGACACTTTGCACACAGAGGAAAGGCAAGATGACCCGGTACAGCTGGAACTTACAGGGGATTTGGCCGACAGAGGAAAGGCAAAAAAGTCACACTGCTACTGGCACCCTTGAAATTGGAATTTTGTGCTGGTTGCTGAAGATAAGGACAAAGTGCCAAAACTATACTCAGAAATGCAGTCTTTAAAAAAAAAAAGTCGTGGCATAACGTACAGAGACATTATATGGCCGGTAGCCGTTAACGTGTTGGCTGGTAAAATATCTTATGTAATAAATTGACGTGTGTATTGCAAACTTCCATCAAAGATAAAAAGCATTTCTGGTGGCGAGTGTTGGCTTTGGCGCATCTAGAAACTGCCTTATGAATTTACTGCACGTGCATATTTCTGGATTGTGCCAGGACTGTTTGTTTGTTCACCAGTTTTTCAAATGAAACCATGAGGAACATTTCATTTGATTTTCACTGGCACAGGAACGGAGCAAGAATGGCGTGACCCGATTGTGAAATTGAAATTTGTAACCTCAAATGAGACAGATATGGCATCACAGAACAAACGAGGTTTGTTCTATAGTTACCCAGCACTTTGGCAACTATGAAACTCTTTTAACTATTGTGAAAAGATGGAAAATCCAATGGTACCGATATGTAATAAGATCTAACAGCCTCTCGAAAACAACACTAAAGGACTGAGTAGAATGGAGGAGGAGAAGAGGCAGACCAGGAAATATCTGGATATAGTTCTTGACTGACTGGACAGCTTAGGCATACAACCATAAAGTCCATAGCATTTGATCATAAAAAGTGGAGGGAGCTGGTCAGAGTCAACATAAGCTGGTGACCTAATGACACATAGCGTTTACGCGACCATGATGATAATGAAACCATACTCTGCACTGTTCCTTGTGACTTGCTCCTTCAGAAAATCCTACTACTGCTGCTCATGTTGTGCTAGTCACACTGCGTCATCAGCCTGTCTCTGGTTGTTTATTATTCTTCACTTGATATTCAGTCCAGGCTATTCTCCAACAACTTTAGAAATGCAGGACATTACAGAACCAATACAGGACATTACAGAACCAATGCAGGACATTACAGAACCAATGCAGGACATTACAGAACCAATGCAGGACATTACAGAACCAATGCAGGACATTACAGAACCAATGCAGGACATTACAGAACCAATACAGGACATCACAGAACCAATGCAGGACATTGCAGAACCAATGCAGGACATCACAGAGCCAATGCAGGACATTGCAGAACCAATGCAGGACATTGCAGAACCAATGCAGGACATTACAGAACCAATGAAGGACATTGCAGAATCAATGCAGGACATTGCAGAACCAATGCAGGACATTACAGAACCAATGAAGGACATTGCAGAACCAATGAAGGACATTGCAGAACCAATGCAGGACATTACAGAACCAATGAAGGACATCACAGAACCAATGCAGGACATTACAGAACCAATGCAGGACATTGCAGAACCAATGAAGGACATTGCAGAACCAATACAGGACATCACAGAACCAATGAAGGACATCACAGAACCAATGCAGGACATTACAGAACCAATGCAGGACATTGCAGAACCAATGAAGGACATTGCAGAACCAATACAGGACATTACAGAACCAATGCAGGACATTGCAGAACCAATGAAGGACATTGCAGAACCAATACAGGACATCACAGAACCAATGAAGGACATCACAGAACCAATGCAGGACATTACAGAACCAATGCAGGACATTGCAGAACCAATGAAGGACATTGCAGAACCAATGTAGGACATTACAGAACCAATGCAGGACATTGCAGAACCAATGAAGGACATTGCAGAACCAATACAGGACATCACAGAACCAATGAAGGACATCACAGAACCAATGCAGGACATTACAGAACCAATGCAGGACATTGCAGAACCAATGAAGGACATTGCAGAACCAATGTAGGACATTACAGAACCAATGCAGGACATTACAGAACCAATGCAGGACATTGCAGAACCAATGCAGGACATTGCAGAACCAATGCAGGACATTACAGAACCAATGAAGGACATTGCAGAACCAATGAAGGACATTGCAGAACCAATGCAGGACATTACAGAACCAATGAAGGACATTGCAGAACCAATGCAGGACATTACAGAACCAATGAAGGACATTGCAGAACCAATGCAGGACATTGCAGAACCAATGAAGGACATTGCAGAACCAATGCTAGCATTTGCTGACTTTTTGTTTTCTAAACAATACAATTTTACATTCAGTAGTTTTCTAATGGGTTCTAAACGGCCTACTCTTGAAACCAGCGCAAGATGGTATGTGTCTAAATCACCCGCAGCTGGATTTGAAATCTGTGTCTTGGGATTATGAAGCACATTTGTAATACATAAGACACAAATACTGAGTGATATCTTTTAGCATCCTCAGTCTTGACTAGACAGTTTATCTGATATCTTTTAGCATCCTCAGTCTAGACTAGACAGTTTATCTGATATCTTTTAGCATCCTCAGTCTTGACTAGACAGTTTATCTGATATCTTTTAGCATCCTCAGTCTTGACTAGACAGTTTATCTGATATCTTTTAGCATCCTCAGTCTTGACTAGACAGTTTATCTGATATCTTTTAGCATCCTCAGTCTTGACTAGACAGTTTATCTGATATCTTTTAGCATCCTCAGTCTTGACTAGACAGTTTAGTCTCAAAGATAAAAACACCCTTATCTGATGTGGGGTGTATCATACACTGTATCAGCTGGTTTTCTCCAAATTTGTACATTAATCACCATGTCAAGAATGTAAATAATCACTGTTATCATCACTACCACCACCATCACCACCACCATCATCACTACCACCACTATCACCACCACCATCATCACCACCATCAGCACTACCACCACCATCATCACCACCATCATCACTACCACCACAACCACCACCATCATCACCACTACCACCACAATCACCACCACCATCATCACTACCACCACAACCACCACCATCATCACCACCACCATCACCACTACCATCATCACCACCATCATCACTACCACCACCATCACCACTACCATCACCACCACCATCATCACTACCACCACAACCACCACCATCATCACCACTACCACCACCACCACCATTACCACTACAATCATCTTATCACTACAACCACCACCATCATCACCACCACCATCATCACTACCACCACCATCACCACTACCATCAACACTACCACCACCATCACCACTACCATCATCACCACCATCAACACTACCACCACCATCACCGCCACCATCATCACTAGCACTACCATCACCACTACCACCACCATCACCACCACCATCACCACTACCACCACCATCACCACCACCATCATCACTACCACCACAACCACCACCATCAACACTACCACCACAACCACCACCATCATCACCACCACCATCAACACTACCACCACAACCACCACCATCATCACCACCACCATCAACACTACCACCACCATCACCACCATCATCACTACCACCACCATCACCACTACCATCAAAACTACCAAAACCATCACCACCACCATCATCACTAGCACCACCATCACCACTACCACCACAACCACCATCATCACTACCACCACAACCATCACCATCATCACCACTACCACCACCATCACCACCATCATCACTACCACCACAACCATCACCATCATCACCACTACCACCACCATCACCACCATCATCATCACTACCACCACCATCACCACCACCATCATCACCACCATCAACACTACCACCACCATCACCACCACCATCATCACCACCATCAACACTACCACCACCATCACTACCACCATCATCACTACCACCACCATCACCATCATCACCACCATCATCACCACCACCATCACCACCACCATCATCACTACCACCACCATCATCACCACCATCAACACTACCACCACCATCACTACCACCATCATCACTACCACCACCATCACCATCATCACCACCATCATCACCACCACCATCACCACCACCATCATCACTACCACTACCATCACCACCACCATCATCACTACCACCACTATCACCACCACCATCATCACCACCATCAGCACTACCACCACCATCATCACCACCATCATCACTAGCACCACCATCAACTACCATCACCACTACCACCACCATCACCACCACCATCATCACTACCACCACAACCACCACCATCATCACCACCACCATCAACACTACCACCACAACCACCACCATCATCACCACCACCATCAACACTACCACCACCATCACCACCACCATCACTACCACCATCATCACTACCACTACCATCAACACTACCAAAACCATTACCACCACCATCACCACCACCATCATCACTAGCACCACCATCACCACTACCACCACAACCACCACTATCAACACTACTATGACCACTACCATCATCACTACCACCACCATCTTCACTAGCACCACCATCTTCACCACCACCAAAACCACCATCACTAGCACCATCATCACCACCACCATCCTCACCACCACCATCATCACCACAATCATCATCACCACCACCATCATCACCACCACCATCCTCACCACCATCATCACCATCATCACCACAACCATCATCACCACCACCATCATCACCACCACCATCCTCACCACCATCATCACCACAACCATCATCACCACCACCACCATCACTAGCAACACCATCCTCACCACCACCATCACCACCACCACCACCATCACCACCACCACCAGCATCACCACCACCACCATCATCACCACCACCACCACCCTCACCAACACCACCATCACCACCACCACCATCATCACCACCACCATCATCACCACAACCACCACCATCATCACCACAGCCATCGTCACCACAACCACCACCATCATCACCACAACCACCATCCCTAGCAGCACCATCATCACCACCACAACCATCCTCACCACCACCATCACCACCACCATCATCATCCCATCATCACTAGCACCACCACCACCACCACCATCACCACCACCACCATCCCTAGCACCACCATCCTCACCACCACCACGTTCATTAAATATGCAAGCGAAAGGTGATGGTTTATTTTTTAAAATTACGGAACCATCACAAATCTGAATGTAAATTTAAAGACTTTCGTTTGTTTTGTTTCAGTAGTGATGTCCGAGTCCGAATGTGGAGCCATCTGCGTCCACAAGGATGTGATGGACAAGTTCAATGTGATTATGGAAGAGACAAAACTGGACGCCAATGAACTTATGGAACATTTCTTTGGACTGTACAATTGGTAGTCATTTATTCTTTCTGTCAGATTAAAATTCACCAGCCTTGAATATAAAATGTTAGTTAATAAATTGTGTTAGATAAGATGAGATGACACTTGTTACAGTAGTTTGTTTCTGTTGATCTCAGGGCAGTAAAGGTCTGTCTGTGTGACTTTTATTTCATTTTATAGTTGTGTATTGTTTAATTGTGTTTAGTGTCAATTTTTTGTGTTTTTGCTATTTAAGTTATTCTTGTTTTTAATTGTATACACAAAAACACATACACACAATTCTTGAAAGTAAAGACAGCTGGTTGGATGTTGCTGGTTGGATGTTGCTGGTTTGATGTTGCTGGTTGGATGTTGACAACATCACTGACTGGCCTATAGAAACATGAGTTTAGCCTCATATGCCTAGTGTGCCACTGGCGTGTAAAAGGACCTTTACCTTACGTCTGCACACACACACACGCACACACACATGCATGTGCACATACATGCACACACACACATACAAGCACACTTACACACACATACATGCATGCACACATGCATGCACACTTGTCAACACACACACACACATGCACACACTCTCACACAGACACACACAGACACATGCACACACATAGATATGCATGTGCATGTTTACACAGACGGATAGAAAGAGGGTGAAAGCGAGTAGATGTAGACACATTGTGCCCCAGCAGCCACCAAAGTACCATGTTGCAGAGCTGGCCTATCTCTCTTCCTGCTCAGCACAAACAAGCAGTACATCACAGTCAGAATTCTGTTGATGTTCTCACTCAGCCAAACCAGGTCCTTAGAGCAACTGACACCAAGTCTTGGACAGTCCACCAGCTGGAAGCTCAGACAGATAGTTCTGGTTGTTGGTTCAGCTCTTGAACCAGAACCTGAGTGTTTGCATGCGCATCCATTTGTTAGATCTAACTTATTTGTATAGAGATTGTTGGTTCCTTGCCCTTCAGGCAGATGCACTCTGTCTTTGAAGAAAGTCTCCAGTAAGTTGACTCTTATGTAATGCTTGTTAGGGGTGGCAGCAGGTCTGCTCTTGTTTTCCCCACACAGGGACCCCTGGAACCTACATGGGAAGATGATCTTGTTCATGATGCATTGGATGGTGCAGTTTCCTTCGACTAAAGTAGGCGGTCTCACCCCCTCCCTCCATCACCCCCTCACTCTATCACCCCCATCCCCAACCCCGTAGTGCTTTCTTATAACATGCATGGTAGGTTAGTAACAGTGTCATCCTGTGCTTCCCAAATGTGCCCAGACATCAGTACCAGACAAGTACTGGATGTTCACATCAGTACCAGACAAGTACTGGATGTCCACATCAGTACCAGACAAGTACTGGATGTCCACATCAGTAAAAGACAAGTACTGGATGTTCACATCAGTCACAAACAAGTACTGGATGTCCACATCAGTACCAGACAAGTACTGGAAGTCCACATCACTACCAGACAAGTACTGGATGTTCACTTCTGAGCTGAGCAGAAGCATTTCAGAATGCTAACTGCTCTTGATTCTGTACAGCAGACATGAACTGGAGGACATGACACTGGGCTTCGTCTACACCCTCTATGGGTGTAGTACATATACTTGTCATTTCAGTGCTCAGAGGGCTTGAATAAAGTGGAAACTTGGAGCCTTAACTCTTTGAGGCCCAAGCGTTGCTGTGTGTGTTGATTGAGATGTTCTGGTTAGCCCAAACAGCACTGTCTGAATCGTTCATGTGTTCTGTACATATTGATTTGTTGCAGGCGGCTCTGTATTCGTTTCTTATGTTCAGAACTACCATTAAATTATTTTTACTTTAATGTTTTTCTTATTAAACAAGTCTATGTTTACACACATGTGGGGACAAATTGATCCAATTCATTGCTACCATGATTTTCAGACAGTTTAGTGTTCTAGTGACCATGGTTACCAATGTTCCGAACACAAGCATAGGCCGAAAAATGCACCTTTCTGTGGCTGTACCTCTGAAATTGTTTCAGCCAGATGTTTTCTGATAGTAAAACATTGAAATTTCGGAAAGTGATTCGGACGGTAAATTTACACTAGCAGCAGGTGAGCGGTCAGCTGTTTTGATGAGGTAAATCCAGGAGGACCCATTACATTCACAAAGGATGTGATAGTCCCCACGTTTGCATCAGTAGTACTGTTTCAGACATTTTTTTCTTTGAAATTTTGTTCAGCACTCTGTGAGAGCCTTGAGCCTGTGGGTGATAAACTAACCTAGAAACTTATCATAACTATCGAATTTGTTAGGAAACTGAACAAACTTTAAATTGTTATTCTCAAATTTGGATATTCACTGCTCTTGTGGCTGCAGAACCATGGTGAATGAAGATCTTTTTGGTAAAATTTTGTCTTTATAAACATAACACTCGTTGAATTCTTTTTCCTCTGCTAACTATAACACTATGAAACTAAAGCATGTCGTCAGTTTAAAAATGTATATTCATTCCTCTTTTTTAAAAAATATACTTTTTTAGGGATAAGAAATGTATAACATTCTCAGTAGCTTTTTTTTTCTCTCTGCCACAAAGGGAAATTCTGACAAAATTCTTGAGCCTTAAAGAGTTAATATAAAGTGGAAAGTTGGAGCACTTAATATAAAGAATCCGAATGATCTAGTACTAAATCTTGATATTGATCTGGTAATACTGATGATGATGATGATGGGGATGTTGATGGCTTACTGAAAGTTATTGCAGGAACTGACAAACCAGTTAGCAGGAGCTGGCAGTCCTTGGAATGTGAACAAACCAGTTAGCAGGAGCTGGCAGTTCTTGAAATGTGAACAAACCAGTTAGCAAGAGCTGGCAGTCCTTGAAATGTGAACAATCCAGTTAGCAAGAGCTGCAGTCCTTGGAATGTGACCAAACCAGTTAGCAAGAGCTGGCAGTCCTTGGAATGTGAACAAACCAGTTAGCAAGAGCTGGCAGTCCTTGGAATGTGAACAAACCAGTTAGCAAGAGCTGGCAGTCCTTGAAATGTGAACAAACCAGTTAGCAGGAGCTGGCAGTCCTTGGAATGTGAACAAACCAGTTAGCAAGAGATGAAAGATAGTCCTGTAGTGTGAACAGAGGGCTTGCATAAACCAGTTAGCAGGAGCTGGCAGTCAATCTTAGAATGTGAAAAAAATCCAGTTAGCAAGAGCTAGCAATTCAGTCTTGTAGTGTGAACACACCAGCAAAAGCTAGCTATCAGTCCTGGAATGTGAACAAACCAGTTAGCAAGAGCTGGCAATCGGTCTTGGAATGTGAACAAACCAATTAGCAAGAGCTGGCAGTCAGTCTCGGTATGTGAACAAACTAGCTAAAAACAGCTGGCAATCAGTCTTGGAATGTGAACAATCCAGTTACAAAGAGCTGGTGGTCAGACTTGGAATGTGAACAATCCAGTTAGCAAGAGCTGGTGGTCAGTCTTGGAATGTGAACAAACCAGTTAGCAAAAGCTGGCAGTCAGTCTTGGAGAGTGTGAACAAACCACTTAGCAAGAGCTGACAGTCAGTCTTGGAGGGTATAAACAAACCAGTTAGCAAGAGCTGGTAGTCAGACTTGGAATAAGAACAAACCAGTTAGCAAGAGTTGACAGTTAGTCTTGGAGGGTATAAACAAACCAGTTAGCAAGAGTTGACAGTCAGTCTTGGAGGGTATAAACAAGCCAGTTAGCAAGAGTTGACAGTCAGTCTTGGAGGGTATAAACAAGCCAGTTAGAAAGAGTTGGCAGTCAGTCTTGGAGGGTATAAACAAACCAGTTAACAACAGTTGACAGTCAGTCTTGGATAGTATAAACAAACCAGTTAGCAAGAGTTGACAGTCTTTTAGGGTATAAACAAACCAGTTAGCAAGAGTTGACAGTCAGTCTTGGAGAGTATAAACAAATAGTTAGCAAGAGTTGATTTTTGCCACCCCGCATGGATATACACTTATGTAGTGAGCATGTGGTTTTGAATCTGGACACTTCTCACCCACATGAGACATTTGACTAATTTCTATGTTGATCCCAGACAGTCTTGGATAACCAAGAAAACGGTGAAATTGACTTGTAGAAGAAAATGAAATTAGCTGTACTTGTATCCACAGGAGTAGGAGAAGGGTAGGTAGATTTCAAAATGAATTTAATAAGTAAATATCAGTATGCACAGATAACCCCTCTGACTTTCTCCTCTGCTGGTATTAATGTATAATGAATACCCCCATCAAGTAATTATATGTGAGTGAGCTGAGGTAAACTAGTATGCACAAAGACACTTGAACCTAAGTACTCAATTTACCCAACTATTTTACAACAGCTTTAAACAGATTTTTTTGATTGATTATATTGAAGATTAAGATAATAGCTCACTGATGAAAATGAGTTAATTCGGTGAGTTCTATATGTGCATACGATAGTAGAGTGAGGATGGTGTTACGGTGATGATATTTCTTATGAATAACAATTACATAACTTGAAAGTAAACCTCAGATGGATCTCAGTTTGAGACTGCCTAACATTTCGAAGCCTGTCGTCCTCACTGTCTCAAGCAGGTCGTCCTCACTGCCTCAAGCAGGTCGTCCTCACTGCCTCAAGCAGGTCATCCTCACTGCCTCAAGCAGGACGTCCTCACTGCCTCAAGCAGGACGTCCTCACTGCCTCAAGCAGGTCGTCCTCACTGCCTCAAGCAGGTCGTACTCACTGCCTCAAGCAGGACGTCCTCACTGCCTCAAGCAGGTCGTCCTCACTGCCTCAAGCAGGTCGTCCTCACTGCCTCAAGCAGGTCGTCCTCACTGCCTCAAGCAGGTCGTCCTCACTGCCTCAAGCAGGTCGTCCTCACTGCCTCAAGCAGGTCGTCCTCACTGCCTCAAGCAGGACGTCCTCACTGCCTCAAGCAGGTCGTAGACTAGACCATCTGCTTATGAAAAGTGTTGATTGGTTCTTGCCTTTGGTGGGAACTGTGATAAAAGAAACAAGCCCCTATGTGGTAGTGTCTAGGTTACACACAGCATGTG